TGTGTGTGTGTGTGAAATGTATCTTTATCTTGCTGGCTTATTCATCTGTTTTCAGTGTGAGAAATGAAGAGTATTATTGTGATTTGTTGCTCTCTTAGTTCCCAGTCGTAGTAGTCTTGTTGAGCGTGCCAGCTGTAAAAGTGTCCTGCAGGCGGTCTGGTTATGTAACTGTGTTTTCTGAAGTGCATTATTACAGCTGAAAGGCATTGTCTAAGCTCATGTGTGTTTGTTCCAGCACGCTGTGGAGAACGGCGTGAGGCTGATGGTGGACGCAGAACAGACGTATTTCCAGCCGGCCATCAGCAGACTCACGCTGGAGATGCAGAGGATCTTCAACAGAGAAAAACCCAACATCTTCAACACCTACCAGTGCTACCTGAGAGTGAGTCGCTGAAACACACACACACACACACACACAGTTCAGTTCCTACCAAACACACGCGTCCGCACCCTCAAAACCTGCCGCTTCACATTGCTTCCACACCCAGATTTCTCATTTATCCTGCCATAATATGGATCACTAAAGGATCAGTCAATCCAAAAATAATATTCTGTAATTATTTACTCATCTTCATGTTATGTCAGGCCTGTAAGATTTCCTTTCGTCTGTGCAACACAAAAGGAGATGCTCTGCAAAATGTTCAGGCTGCCCCAAAAATGACACAAAAGCATTGAAAAAAGTCGTCCATCTGACTTGTGTGTCAAATTCCAACTTCTTTTGATACCTAAAATTGATTTAAAGATCTGAAATTTCCATAAATGTTACGAGAGAATTTTGAAGCTCTGAAACCATGGAATAGACTACATTTGTCTTAGTAAAGGTTATAATGGTTCATTAAAAAAGTAATTATTGTTTATATTTCAAGTAATGTAATAGTGCTAAAAGCAACTGTAATGATTTTCATAATTAAGAATAATAAATAAGAATTTAGTAATTACAAATAAATATGTATATATGTACAGTTATTATATATAATTAAAATAATTTGAATGTAATAATTGAAAACACAAAATAAAAATGATTTAGAATATATGTAATTTATGTTAACATTTAACATTAGTGACATATTAGAATTTAATATCAATTAGAATTAGAATATGTATGTTGTACATTTTTAGAATTATTAATGTGTGTGTGTATATATTTTTAAAAATCTAAATTCAATAAATAAAAAGGAACAACTACAATAAATGTAATTATTTATTTGTACAACAGAATATTCACGCTGCTCCAAAAATGACATTCCAATGAAAATTTTCAGTACTTAAAATTGAAACGAGGAACGGACCCAAATTAAAATGTAACCATTTTGGTGGTTCATAATTTGCAATTTGGATTTATTTTTTGTAATTTATACATTTAACATTAGTGACATATTAGAATTTAATATCAATTAGAATTAGAATATGTATGTTGTACATTTTTAGAATTATTAATGTGTGTGTATATATTTTTAAAAATCTAAATTCAATAAATAAAAAGGAAAAACTACAATAAATGTAATTATTTATTTGTACAACAGAATATTCACGCTGCTCCAAAAATGACATTCCAATGAAAATTTTCAGTACTTAAAATTGAAACGAGGAACGGACCCAAATTAAAATGTAACCATTTTGGTGGTTCATAATTTGCAATTTGGATTTATTTTTTTTGTCACAGAATGAATCATGATGACAATGCTGTAAAAGCACTATATGGCTTTCATAAGACCTTCTGTGCATCTCTCTAATAGTTTTATGGCACTTTTATTTAGTTAGTCTGCGTGTGTGAGTCTCATGCCAAGCGCTGTGTGTGTAGGAGGCGTATGATAACGTGTCTGTGGATGTGGAGCTGTCGCGGCGGGAGGGCTGGTACTTCGGTGCGAAGCTGGTCAGAGGAGCGTACATGTGTCAGGAGAGATCTCGCGCGGCAGAGATCGGATATGAAGATCCCATCAACCCTGACTATGAGGCCACCAACAGGATGTACCACAAGTACGTGCCGTGCGATTAATACACATCCTACAAATGAAGGAAAACACTGATAAACATGAGATCAACAAACCGCACAGTATTATTTATAGTCAGCATTTTCATAATTTGACTGCTGTGCATTCATTGCTGTTAATTCTTGCTGATATGTTTTTGAATATTGTTTAAATATTTTGTTATTCTATATAACCTATTATATGATAAAATAATATTTAAAATATATTCGTTCCAATAACCCATTTCCTGATGGGAAGAAAATATTTGAAAATATATTGTTTAAATATATATTTACTTTTTTTAAATTCTGTTTTACTCCACATAACCCATTATCTTATGAATATTTTAATTTTATTTCGTATAGCCCATTATCTGATGAAAAGCGAATATTTAAAAAAATAATTCCATATAACCCATTATGCAATTAAAAGCAAATATTTTAAAATATATTCATTGTTTAAAGATATATTTAATTTATTCAATTTTATTCCACATAACCCATTATCTGATGAAAAGCAAACATTTAGTAATATTAATTGTTTAAATATGTATTTTATTTAATTCCACATGATCTATTATCGTATGTATATATTTTATATTTTTTAATGTTATTCCACATAACCCATTATTGATGCAAATATTTACAAATATATGAATTGTTAAATAAAATAATACACTTTTTATTTTATTCCCCATAACCAATTATACAATGAAAAGCTACAAATTGGAATTCTATTAATTGTTTAATTTTATTTAATTTTATTCTTTTATTTTGTTCCAAATAATCCATTTTCTAAAGAAAAGCAAATATTTGAGAATATATTATTTGTTTAAATATGCTTTTTAAAAAAACAAAAACAAAAAAACATTAGTTCTGCATAACCCATTATCCAATGACAAATAAACATTTAAAAATATATAAATTATTTAACTGTTAATTAATTTTTATTTTATTTCATTTTCCCCATAACCCATTATACAATGAAAAGCTAGTAAAAAAAAATATATATATATATATATATATAATTATTATATATATTTCAT